CCCATCCAGGGAGGGGCAGCCCCAGCCTTCCAAGTTGCTCAAGACAGAAGCCTGGGAGGCTGTCTTGACCTGGCCTTGCTCTCTTCCACTGTGACCTGAGAGGTGCGTGTGCGGCCCCCATTTTGAGTCTGCCTCCCTGATGCAGCCAGTTGCAGGCAAGGCCCCTCACGTGTATATTTTAGAAGCTCCTGGCTGACTCTGGGGCTAGCTGAATAGCCCTCAAGAGGAGCATCTCTGACGGATGGGCACACTGTGGGTGAAGATATGTCTAATGGAGGTGGCGGCCCAGGCCATTCCCCTCCTCCCCACAAAGAACCCATAAGACAGCTGGATGAGAGAGGGGCCAAGCTGAGCCGGTCCTCCGGCTCCCCACCCACCCAGCTCCCAGGAAGAGCCAGGCACATGGCGAGGCTGAGAGGGGACCGTCCGGGGTTGGGAGGCCCAGACACAGTGCTCTTGTTGCCATGGAGATGGATGTGCGTCCGTTGGGCAGAGAACTTTGGAGTAGCTTGGAAGCCGGACAACAAAGGGCACCTCCACCTTGGACACAAATTGTGGTTTCTTTTCATCCTCTTTGGCCCTTTTATGCTCTGCTTTTGTTCTTGCCATTTAGATCAGAGAATGAGACCCTTTCAAATGCTATAAATTCAAAACATGGGCAATTAGGGGGCCTCTCTGCGGTTGCAGCCCCCCTGTAGTCTCTTTAGAAAGCAATTGCATGTGTGGTGAAACAGAGATGACCGAGCAGAGGTGGTCAGCACCTCCCAGAGGTCACTCTGCAGCCAGTAATGCCTGAGCACCTACTGTGTGCCAGGACCCAGGCTGGCGCTGGGGATTCAGTGCGGTTCAGTGTGGTACAAGACCGACCCGATCACTGCCCCATGCCTCAGTTTCCCCAGTGTAAAACAAGGGGCTGACTTGGTCCAGGGGTTTCATGTGGAAAGAAGATCCCAGTCACCTATTTTGACTGAGTAGCTTTGCTTTGCTCTGTGTTATGTGCTCCTCTTCCCTACAACATTTTGTTTGGAGAGAGAAGTTCATAACTTAAAAAAAAAAAAAGGAATGAAAACCAGTAGGCAAGGATTCCCTAAGGCTTTTTCCAGATGGAATGTTCCGTGCTGTTGACAACTAAGGAGACTGTAGATTCCCCAGGCTGTTAGGACACATAGAGACTGATACACAGAAGAAGCTAGGTTGCATTTGGGATGTTTATCTACCTGGATGACTGATATCCTGCCTTCATTTTAAATAAAGTCAGGAACCTCACTGAGTGTTGGAAAGAGAACAGATTCAGGGCTTTAGGCACCTGCCCTTGTCAGACTTGGGATCCCAGCCCGGCCTCAGACCCCATCCTCACCCTTTCCTCGTGGGACTTCACCTGGGCCAGGAGGCTTCAGGAACACATCCTCCTCAGAGCTCCCCCCGCCCATTCTGGCCTCGATGCACCTGCCCTGTGGTGATTTGGGGTCTGCCGTCTCTGCCTGGCTGGACTGTGCAGTCTCAGAACATGATGTGTGTTGAGGAACTCACTAGATGAGGTGCTGGGAGTCCCACTGGTACCACTTCTTCTCTGGGCCCTGCCTCTCACCCTGTGCCCTTCCTGGTTTTCTCCTGAAATGCAGGAGAGCCCAGTGGGCAGTGTGCAGAGCAGGCCCTCTGCCACCTCCTCTCCCTCCCTAACGGACGGCTGAAGGACACCAGGCCCCCATTACAAAGGCGACCTGAGTTTTTCCCAAAAGCCATTTACACTGTCTGGGCAGCGAAGCGGGAAATAAGTCGGGGACAGGGTGTTTTATTGACTGTCTCTTGTCTTGAGGAGCTGCAGGAAAGCTTTATTAATACAGCAAAACCCAACAAGCTCATTTAGGGCCATGCACCACCTGGGCCCATTGGAAGTTCAAGCTGATATTTTTGCCTGAAGGCTGAGTCCCCTTTTATTCATTTCTTTATCACCTACGTTACCTTTTCCCCTGAAGACCAAATGGGTGCAAGAAACAAAGAGATTCTGGATTAGAGAACAGCTTCTATTCAAAACACCCTGAACTTGGCGAAGTTACCCTACTACGTGGGGACTGTTGAAATTTTGCCCTCTTGCCTTATTATCATGGGGCCCATCCAGAGATCAGAGGATCCCAGGGAGTGGAGGCCACACCCTTCTCTGCGCTGCACGGTCCCGGGCGCATGGTGGGCCTGCAGCAGGGACAGCCCCTCTGCACTGGCCACGTAGGATTAGTGACCTCTTGGTTTCAACACCTTGGGGGACCCTTTTTCTGGGGATGTGTGGCGTTTAGGGTCACCAGCACTCCAGGCCTGCACCCCGCCCCTCCCTTATCCTCTGGGGAGATGTGAGCTGCGGGGAGCAGAGGAAAGATGCCTGAAGCAGGCCGGTCAGTGGGCGATCTGCTTTACCTTCTCATGCAGCTGCATGATGAGCCTAGAAGTGGGAACCGCTGGCCACACATTTGGAGGAAAGGGCACCTTCACGTGTGCATGCATCTCAACACAGATGGTTTCACCCTTTGCCAATGTCATTTCCTTGAGCCCTTCCTTCTGTAACTCCCTGACGGCAGAGGGGTGTGATTACCATCACGAAAGTGTGGGCGCCCTGCGGATGGTGATGACCACCCACAGATGGGCTCCCAGGGCAGGGCTCTGGGCAAGGGGGAGGGCTCCTGCCCTTCTGGGTGGCTGGACGTCAGTCTCCCGGGCCTTCGGGTGGCTCTGTTCCAAATCCCAGCAAAGCTGGCTGCAGACAGATAGCCAAGGAACAGAGCATGAGGGTCAGGGAATGAAAAATCTCTAAGAACAGATAGCAAGGGTGGAAGGATTCTTGCTGAACCTACTTAACATGATTTTCAATGAAGGCAGACCAGGACAATCAGACATCCAGAGTGAAGGGTGTGGAATTTGACCAGATAGAGAGGGTGATCAGGTATCAAGGATGGGGGTGGTTCTTGCTAAACTGATTTAGGAGATTCTTGCTACAGCTGAACTAGACTGGCTGAAGACAGGCCCAAGAGCAAGACCTAGTTGGAAAGAAGCCTCTGAGAAGCATGTCTACGGTTTGGTCGGGGAGAGGCTTGGCATGGACATTTGGACTGATGGGCCTTTTTGAGGGCCGCCATTTTTAAAAACCTCATCCCCATTTCTTTTGTTTCTTCAAAGGTTTTCTTCCTTTGGTCTCTCATAGAGAATCTTCTAGCACAACACTGCAGCTGCTTCATTGGAGCAGAGTTCAATGGACAACAGAAAACAAAAACACAGATTTGTCCTTGAGAAAACAATAAATTTTTTTTTAAAGATTTTATTTATTTATTTGACAGAGACAGAGACAGCGAGAGCAGGAACACAAGCAGGGGGAGTGGGAGAGGGAGAAGCAGGCCTCCCGCCGAGCAGGGAGCCTGATGTGGGGCTCGATCCCAGGACCCCGAGATCATGACCTGAGCCGAAGGCAGTCGCTTAACCAACTGAGCCACCCAGGCGCCCCAGAGAAAACAATAAATTTTTAAAAGGAACAAGAGTGATTTTCTTGGGAGACAGGGGTGTTCGGGGCCAGGAGCTGAGTCTGTGAGGCAGAGTGCTGGCCCAGTGTGGGATTGGAGGCAGGAGGGGTGGGGTGGGCTCTGGAGGAGAACCATGGGTGATTACACATCTACAGTTTCTGTTTACCCAGTGTTCTTCCAGAACCTTCATGCTATGCTAACCAGGGCTCTGTGACAAGGACAGCTGGTCAGGACACACCCCAGGTGGGAACCACCCCTACTGCTGTGAGGCTTCCAGCACCTTCTGGACATTGTGCCACTTGAGGCAGGATAATGGGAATGATCACCTGCTTTTAGGGGAGGAAACATAGAGGCTTAGGGGATGAGGGGAGCTGACCGTGGTCTTAGAGGGGACAAATGGAAGAGAGGATGCCAGCCAGTGTCTCTCTAAACCCTCCTAACCACTGCGCTCTGCAAAGAACAGCTATGGAAGATTGAAATGGGCTCTACCCACATTGGGAATTTTCCTGCCCTTTGACCCCACATGCCACCCCATATGTCACTCCTAGGGGTTTTCCTGAAGGTGATAATTGCACAGATATGAAAAGGTGTGATCATAGGGACTGTGGCATTGTTTATCACTGACCGACAAGGCAAATGTCCATCAAAAGAGAGCAATTAGGTGAATCCTTGTGCATTTATACACTGGACTCCCTCGAACCACTAAAAGTAAAACTTTTTGCAACCAACTTTTTGCAATCAATGTATTACTTGTATAGGAAGGCAAAAGCACATTAAAATCTTTAAAAAAAAATTATCGGGATGGTTTGCCACAAAAGGACATCATTCCCAAAATTAGACTCACTGGGCAATACTGGTGCCCAGTTCAGTGTGCAAAGCCTTGTGCTAAGCTCTGTGGGGAGTCATGACATTTAGTGAGAGTCAGCCTTGGCCTCTGGGGGTTTGCAGAGGGAGATGGTAGGGCAGCCTCTGACAGATGGCTGCCTGTGTTGGGCCATGAGGCAGCGGAGGAGAGGGAGCGAAGCCTGCCGGGGAAGGCTTGGGTTCAAGTTCTCGGGTGGTGGGAGAGCCAGGTGCAAACAAAGGGCACGGGGCATCCTGGGTGCTGGGATGCCAGAGTGCAAGCAGCAGGGAGAAGTCAGCAGCGGGGAGCTTACTTTGAGAAAGCCTTCTTACTTCTCCTCCCTCCCTCCTTTCTTTTCATTTGCACGAAGACCTTAAAAAACCTTCAAAATTAGCAATATGTGTTCATGCAACTATTTTGGAAAGTGTTTGGCATTGCCTGGGAAGGGCGAAGCTGGGCCTAGCCCACAATCCAGCAGTTTCTTCCACATGCAGACCCTGGAGATGCACGTGCGTAAGTGCACCAGGGTGTGGGGCACGCATCTCCACCGCAGCCTGGCTGATGAGAGCCCCAGATCGGGGAGGCCCCAGTGTCCACTCGCAGAATGAACACGGAGAATGTGGTACGGTCATACAAGGGAATACTAGACAGCGATGAACACGAATGAGCTGCACTTACAGAGAATATGGCTGAATCTCATCGGCGATATTGTACCAAAGGAACCAGAAGAAGAACAAGGAAGTTGTCATCAAGTAAGTCAGGAGAGTGCTTACTTTTAGGGGAAGGGAGGTGATTGTGATGGAGGAGAGGCACCTGGGGGCCCTGGGGCTTCTACATCTCGACCTGGATGGGGGTCACCTGGGGCTCACCAAACAACTCCCCTTTACATGACAAACACATGCTTTGTGCCCTCTTCTGCGCATGCACCTCCTAATAAAAAATATAAGAAGCAATAGAAGCTTGTGGTAAATAACACTTCAAAAATATGGAAGGGCATAAAATTACAAGTGGAAAATAAAGATCTTCACCCTCCTACATGCCCCCCCCATTTCACTTCCTGGAACTGATTACTCTGGGCACCCCCGGGGGTTGACCAACACCCACCCAGAACCCAGCTGTGTGCACGTAGAGCCTCTTTAATAAATGTGCTTGTTTTCCTAAATTGGATTGTAAGAGGCCTGCTGCCCTGTGAGTTTGATTGCACTGGAGGATAACATCTCTCGGATATTTTTCTATGGTAAACACCGCGCTACCTAATTTTCTTAAGTGACCACTTGGTATTTTGTTGTAAGAGTGACCACCCCTTATTTCATAGGCCTCAATGTGCCCACGCTCCGGAAGTTTCCAGATTCTTCTTATTGACCAACAGTTCTGAAGTCACGCAAGAGACTTGACATACAAACATCTTTTCCAAAAGCTTTCTCATCTTTAAGTCTTTTCTCCCATTTGGTGGGTTTGGTGAATGTTTGGGCTGGTAGAAGACACTCTCGGGCACCTGGGTGGCTCAGATGGTTAAGCGTCTGCCTTCGGCTCAGGTCATGATCTCAGGGTCCTGGGATCGAGTCCCGCATCGGGTTCCGCATTGGGTTCCCTGCTCAGTGCAGAGCCTGCTTCTCCCTCTCCCTCTGCCACTCCCTCTGCTTGTGCTCTTCTGTCTATCTCTCTGTCAAATAAATAAATAAAATCTTTAAAAAAAAAAAAGACACTCTCTGCATGTGGCCATTTTAAAGGGATTCATTTTCTGCTCCCCTCAGAGGAATTAGGGTTGCGAAATCTGGAACAAAATAAGACGAAGACCCAGAAAGTCACGCTGGTAGCAGCTCAGGCTACCTGTGCAGAAGGGGTGGACCAGAACCTTCCGCAAAGGCTCCTGGAAAAGGGAGAGCTCTCTCTGCGTGTGTGTGTGTGTGTGTGTGTGTGTGTGTGTGTGTGTACGTGCGTGTTTCCCTGCGGCACCCAGCACTGGTTTTGCGGGGAGACAACATCTTCTACAAGAAGACAACAGTCAATATAAATCCAATTGGATATAATGACTGGATTTCTCTCCCCCCACAGAGATGGTGACGGTGATTTCTCAGATGCCTTTTAGTTACAGACAAGTTTCCGAACAAAATAATTAGGTTTGGGTCTTTGCAGCCTGCCCTATTGGACTATTGATTAACCACTGAAGTGTCCTGCCCTGCGGATGTCTGGGTGTGCAGTCAGCATAGCAGGTGGGCAAAGACCGCTCTGAGCAGGGGGTGGGGGAGGTGGGGGTGGTAGAGGTGAGGCTCCACAGAGCTGCATCCTGAGTCTGCGCTTTCTCCCAGAGTCCTCTGCTGCTGAGAGCCACCTGTGGGCACCCACCTGTTGGTACCCCCAGTTTTAGACACCTGCTGCCCCCAAACCATAAAGGTCCAGGAAGCAGAGTTCCAGTCCCCACTGCCTGGTCTCACACCCGTGTGACATCGGGCAAGGCTGTGTCCGTCTCTGGGTGCTTCCTTGTGTGGGAAGGGCAGCCTTTAGACTTCGTAGCCTCCCAGGCCCCTTCCAGCCCTGGTGTTTTGTCCCAGCGCTGCCCAGGAGAAATACAACGCGAGCCACAAACTTGGGCCATGCAAGTAATTTAAAACTTTCTAGCAGCCACGTTAAGAGAAGTAGCAACTGGTGAAATTAGTTTGAATAATATATTTTATTTAACCTAATGTATCTAAAATAGTGTTGTTTCAGCATGTAAACAATACAAAAGCTATTAACGAAATACTTCACATTTTTTGTACCAAGTCTTCACAATTCAGTGTGTGTTAAAATAGAATATAAATGTCGACAGCGCATCTCGAGCCTGGTTGCATTTCAAGCGCTCCAAGGCCCCCTGTGCCGAGTGGCTCCTGGATTGGACAATGCAGGTCTACCTGGTTCATCTGCTGTCAGGCAGATGGGAAAACTGAGGCCCAGCTGGTTGGGGCAGAATCGGCTCTGGCCCCAGGGCTCCTCACCGTGCGTCCGATGTTAGTCCTGTGGTCCTACTCTGCGAGTAGCTCCGTGCACACTTCCTCGGGGAGACAAAGGAGGAAGAGATCATGTCCTTTGCTGTCAAGGAGTTAAAGGTCCAGTTGGAAAAGAAAAAAAAAAAAGAATGAGCCCAGCTGAACCTGTTGGGGCACACTGCACTTAGCAATGCTTTAGTGGGGTTTTTGGAGGCAGTAACCCAGGGAGCGTGGCAGCAGTTATCCCAGGCTTGACTGCCCTGTGCAGAGAGGACTTCAGCTGGGCTCTGGGGGGATGAGGAAAATGTGAATAATGTCTGTGGATGGGCTTGGAGGGGCACAGTCTGATTAGAGCAGAGGGTGGGAGCTGGGTGTAGGGTGGGGGAATTGTAGACGACCCTAAGAGCTAGGCAGAAGGGTTTAGACGTGAGTATCAGGGAGCCACCTAAGGCTCTTGAGCTGGGGCAGGGGCCCTTGGAAGCTGTGGTCCATGGAGACCTGCTGAGTTCCCGACGGGTTGGAGGCAACACCTGGAGCCCGGGAGGCTGGTCAGGAGGCTGCTGGAGCAGTAGCTACTGATGGGGACTGGGGGTTAAGACGAAAGAGGAGCCATTCCATGGACTTGGAGGAAGCCTGTGCCGTGGCCATGCTTTGGTGGTGACAATGTGCCCCTGTGATGACATCTGGGTATTTTGCTTCTTGCCGGCCTCCCTTGCCCAAGGGCAGGAAGGTCATCTGAGGTGGATGGATCTGCCTAAGCAAAGACTCCGAGTCAGGAAGAAACAGAGGCTGGAGGGTCAGGGGGCCGGGATGGCTGCAGGGAAGAAGGCATGAAGGATTCAATTACCTGAGACTTTAACAAGCAGAGACAGCCATCCCTCGTGGCATCACAAACAGAATGGGCTTTTTGGTGAGTCAGTGGGATGGTGGGGAAAAAGTTTTTCACGCCAAACCAGGTAGGAGGAGATGGGGCTTGGGCAGGTAGAAGGGGGTGCACACGGCAGGTGAGGGAATGACTTTTGCGAAGGCAGGGGGCTGGACTGAGCTAGCACATCACTGGGTGGGAGGGCAGACACCTGCTAGGGCACCTGTCGGTTCAGTTAGTTACCCGCAGCTGGTGCTTATTGCTTGGGTGATTAGGGACCGTGAGCCAAGCACAGCATTTACTGAATGCTGTTTTCTGTGCCAGGCAGTGTGAGACTCTGGGGGCGGGGGCGGGGGTGGATGATGTGGTGAGCAAGACACCAGAGGCCCTGGCCTCAGCTTGCATGAAGGAAGATGCAAAAATCAGACATTAATCACAGTTGCAGTGAAATTGTGATTACAATAAGTGCCAGGAACAACAGGTGTAGGGACCTATCAAAATAGCGCGGGGGACATACGCATAAGGGTCGGTGAGGACTTCTCTGAAATGCTTTTCCATCCACTTACTTTTTTTTTTCTTTCAAAAGTTTATTTAGTATCAAGCAAGAGGAGACTTTGCTTAACACTACAGAACATTTCCAGACTTGAGTTACAAAGAATACCGCATTGCTCCCACTTGCAATTGGCTTCCCTTTTTATGCTTGTTGTTGGCAAGTGGAAAAAAAATTAGCATACGGCTGAAAGATAAAATAACTACATTTCTATGGAAACCTTTAAAATGAAAGGTGAGGCTTATGTTAAAAGTCCATTCATTTACTTTTAAATGTCTTGACCTGAGACATAAAGGCTAAGGGGGAATTAAGTAGGTAAATGGGAAGAGGGGAGGACATTCTAGGCAGCAGAAATGGTCTGAGCGAAGGCTCTGGGGTGAGAAGGAACACAGGGTGTACGGACAGATGGGAGACTAGGAATGAGAAAGATAATCAGACAAAGAGGAAGAGGAAGAACCTCTCAGGCAGAAGGAGCAGAGAGTGCAAAGGCCCTGAGGCAGAGAACCCACCTTGAGAGAAGCCCTTTGTGGCTAGAGGGGGAAGACAGGGCAGAGCGGCATCAGAGGTGTGGAGGCTGCATGGCCCAGGTTGGCGAGGGCCCTTCAGGGTGCAATGCTGGGACCCTCGGGACACACAAGACATCTGAAGCCATGTGAGAGCCCAAGTAATCAGGGAATCCGATTTTCTTTCTTTCTTTTTTTTAAGATTTTATTTATTTATTTGACAGAGAGAGAGAGAGACAGTGAGAGAGGGAACACAAGCAGGGGAGTGGGAGAGGGAGGAGCAGGCTTCCTGCCAAGCAGGGAGCCTGATGCGGGGCTTGATCCCAGGACTCTGGGACCATAACCCGAGCCGAAGGCAGACGCTTAACGACTGAGCCACCTGGGCGCCCGGGAATCCGATTTTTGATCAGAGGCAAGGGCAACGTGGCGAATGAAAACGGAGGGAGTGGTTGAGGCTGGACAGGGTCCCACTGAGCCACACTGAAGACATTTGACGTTATCCCAAGTGCAAGGCCCCTGAAGGGTTTTAGATCAGGGAGTGGCATGACCACACTGGTGTTCTGGAGCTCTCTCCCACTGGTGGTGAGGAGGGTGGACAGTGGGAGGCCTGGGTGGCTGCTGGGGTAGCCACTGGGGATGATGGCAATGGTCCAAATGAGGGGGGAAAATTAAGGCATGGAGCTGATGAGACACAGCTCTTCACAGCTGGCTGGCTCTTTGCAGCCTCCAATTACAGTGAATGTCCTCAGACAGGTTGGTGATTCTATTACAGTGGCCAAACCTGGAGACCTGCATTTTACAGATAATGCTGCATGAAGCCAGCTAATTCAGGGATTGAATTATTAAGTTAGAGCATCTATGACTTAAT